AAATTATCTACTGTATTAAAATGACCAAGAGCCAAAACCAAGAAGAACTTGATCAATTTATTCTAGCAATTCTGTAATTTGGGATACTACTCAGATTGATACTGATTCATTCAAAATAGTGAGATCAAAATAAACCTTCAGTTTTTATAGAAGATGGGATAGAATTCTCACATGAAAATGGGCAATTTAAATTATACAATCCTAGCAAGCTAATGGAATAATTTAGTTTCCTTTATAATCCATGACATGCAAGAGTCAAGCCAATTTTAGAATAATCTCTTTGACTTCAGAATCCTTTTCAGACCTTAAGGTTGTACAAATATTGCTTATTCTGTGAACAAGTAACCAATCCAATATTCATAACTTTTAACAATGATTTGACTAAAGACTAAAGAATGAAATTATTTTAGTGATTAACAATAAGCAAATGTTAAGTGCAGTAAGATTGTATATATACTTGATGTTGAAGAACAAATCAGTTATATCCATCTAGACCACCATAGTTTTTAGGTACCGGTAGCTTATTTTTTAATTGTACTGGGAATGCAACTTCCAAAACTCCAAGCCAATATGTTTAGTTTTAGTTTTAGTTTTATTAAATTTATACCCCGCCCTTCTCCCGGAGGACTCAGGGCGGCTTACAGCCAACTTAAAAACAATAATACGATATAATACAAAATTTAAAAGTAATTAAAAATAGATATTCAATAGGCCGCTTATACCAAAATTTTTGTTAAAAACCAATTTAAAATACCCCTAGGCCAGTCCTGCCCGCTGAAATAACCAAGTCTTAAGGGCGTGGCGAAAGGAGGGGAGATCCGGAATCACCCGGATCTCTGGGGGCAGCTCGTTCCAGAGGGTGGGTGCTCCCACAGAGAAGGCTCTCCCCCTGGGGGTCGCCAGCCGACACTGTCTGGTTGACGGCACCCTGAGGAGGGCCTCTCTGTGGGAGCGTATCGGCCGGTGGGAGGCAATCTATGGCAGAAGGCGGTCTCGGAGGTAGCCAGGTCCGATGCCATGGTGCGCTTTAAAGATGGTGATCAACACCTTGAAGCGCACTCGGAAGGCCACAGGTAGCCAGTGCAGCTCGCGCAGCAGCGGCGTTATATGGCTACAGAACCATTATATACGGAACAGATGTTAGAAAATATTGCATAGATTTTTGTTCATGGTTTATCTTGGCTACCGATTATCTATTTATTATGTTTCTAGGTTTTTAACTATTGTTAGCTAGCCAGAGTCATGATAATTGGAAAGGTGGTCTTATTAATTTAACTACTATAACTAAATTAAAAAATATATTATGGATTTGAAAAAGACTATTATAGTGCTTGTGTTAAAAAATATATGCATCCACCCCAAAATAGTTTGTTCCCATTTTCCACCATATTATGATAATTACTGTAATTCCTTTATGTGATTGTTTTGAGCCATCCCAAATCACTGTGAATCAGACAGCATGCGTTTAATGTCATTATTATTAAAGTCATTATTAATGTCATTATTATTAAAGTTCTATGCTTATAGTTACTAGACTCCTACAATAGCAACACCCAAATATTGACAACTTTCATCCAATGATGAATATCAACCACTACAAACCAAAGCAAGTACATTACAAAATATGGAATGAAAATATCTCTGCATATTTGTATGCTGCTCAGTCACATTCATTTGAGATGAATAGTTACACAAATATGATTTAAAAAATATTGTTTCCTAATATATCTAAGGTTTTATTCCCCAAGTTGTCATTAATATTCATATCAAACTTTAATTCATGACAATGTTTTATATTCAGTAACTAGCTGTGACATATTTCTGTTCAACTGCTTTTTGTATAGCATGTAAAGTGAATACTCTATGCCATTTTTTATTTTTAAATAATACTAAAGACATATTTGTATAATTGTAAACTATCCCAATTCCTTTTTAGGCGTTGACAGACTAGTTACATTGTAATCCATATAAAGTAGCTCCCTAAACCATGGCTCTTCTTGATGTGCAAATGTAGAGTAGACAGCATTTTTTTTAGTTAAACAGCATTGGAAGAGAAATACAATTTCAATACAATACACTTTGAAATTCCTGTTAATATTAACCAGAAATGACAGCTACTTTGTATGACACATCTCACTAAAATACAGAAGATTTATCAGTTGTCATTAAGAAGCCACTTCAGACCAGGACAAATTCCAGGCAAAGCAATGTTAAGCTTCCAGGCAAAATTCCAGGCAAAGCAACTGCCAAATATTGAATGAATATACAGTATGTGATTACCTCATCTAAGTCTAACCAAATGCTAATAGAAGGTGCTGTAAAGAAGTTCTTCTTGGCAAATGAGGAAGCAAATTTCAGACTGATACTTAAATCTAAAGAAACATGGTTGAAGGTTATAGCTGATATTTTAAGTGAAAAAAGTCTTGCAATGATATAAAACTCACATCTTGCTAGATAGAAAGGCATGCTTCTTGATTAGATATTGAAGTTTATGAAGTAGCTGCAAAATGTTTCAAGAATAATCCAAATCAAACAATCAAAATGGATGAAGAAACTGAAAAATACATGAATGATGACTGACTGTTTAGGGGAGAATTGCATATAGTCCAAGTGTCAACTGTTATATCTTTTCTTCTGTTTGGATTTTAAATGACAGAGGAATAAAATATTGAAGCCCTGAATGATCAGGTGCTATAGTTAGATTCTTCATCAAGTACAGCACATACTATAATGATAGCGGTATATAAATATATTAGCTAAATAAATATATTAAAGACCCCTAAGGTATTTTTAACATGTTTTGGTAGAAAGAAACAGTCAATTTTCTCTAGAATATACTATATCTACAATCATTTAAAATGGTAATGATTATAAATTATACTGGCCAAGATTTTAACTTCATTTGAACAAGCCATAATGGCTTATTCATAAATAAGCTATAATGAATGGATCATCAAAATATGTGATTGCAAAAACAGCAAGCCACAATATATCTTAGTGCAATGTCTGTCAACTAACATAACCCAGTGTGCACATGGCTTATGATGAGATAAACCCTTACGTAAATTTAATATATAACCTAAATTCAATGTTCATCAGAAAAGGAAGATTTGACATAGTAAGAAGATACTTGTGTAGCAAGAACCTATCAGTGGGAAACAATGATCATGACATGATACAAGAAAAATGCACGATGGCTAATCAGATGACCTATGTCAGTGGTGGCGAACCTAGGGCACGCGTGCCAGAGGCGGCACGCGGAGCCCTCTCTGTGGGCACACGTGCTGTTGCCCCAGCTCGCCTCCCCCCACGACCCCCTCACCAGCAGCCCCCTGGAGGAGAGTTGCCCCCGAGCGTGGCCTACGCGGAGCAGAGCAGCCAAGGACATGGCAGCCAGGCAGCGTGGACAAGACTCTGCCACACGCCCCATCATGCACAATTGATGCTGCGGGGCGCGGACAGAGGGCGTGGCCACCATTGGCGCTGTGGCGCTGCTGGGCTGCCTGGGCGATCTGCGGCAGGCCCTGGAGGAGGTGAGTGGCCCTACGGGCAAGCAGGGCGGGGGACGGAGTGGGGCGGAGCAGGGGCGGGGCCAGTTTTTGGGCACTCGGTCTCTAAAAGGTTCGCCATCACCGGCCTAGAGAGTTACCAAATGGACTTTTTTTTCCCCTTAAGTCTTTTAAGTGGAGGACAGGCAATTATTTGCAGAGGAATCGGTATATATCTAAAAATCTTGTATTTATTAAATGTTTAGTTTGGCATATTTAACACAATGCAAGCTCACATTTGTCAATCAGTATAGTAACAGATATATTTTAACCAGATTTCTGTTTCCAGGTCTTTAAAGAGTGCATCCTGTGAATACAATATTGTCAAGGAGATCCTACTGGTAATGAGATGTACTGCCTAATAAAGACTTTAGGATTGCAGCCTACTCAGTGACAGTACCTTCATCAATGCATTTCTCCAGAAACCTACTTTCTTTCAAAGAGCATGTATCTACATCTATCCACATATTTATCCTTGTTATTTTTCCAATTTACAGCCCCAAATACTCCGTTTATTGCAGCAGAAAAGAAGCTATTATTTAAAAGAGAAACCATTGGCATGGTATTTTTCCACCAACTTGCAGAAAAACAAGCCTAATAAACTACCAATCTCTACTGTGCCTATCATTTTTGAGTTCTAGACTTCACTCTGACAGACTTTTGATTTTTAACATGTTTACCCCAGTCATAACAAACAAAAAAAAAACCCCAAACATCTGTATCACTTCGGGTTGAAGTCTAAACTCAGCTCTTACCAATCAATCTGAGCAACTGCCTTTCAATTATTTGTCCTTTTATTCTCCCAGTCTGAATTTTAGATAACTTTGCTAGCTTCAGGAGCAAAGCGCAGGGAGTGGAAGAGTCTTGCCCCTAAAACTGATAAATTCACGTACCAATACAACATATAAAAGACTTTTTTGGCATTAACAAAATCTCGGAACGAGTACATCCATTCCTTCCCACCAAGCATAAATAGCCCTTCCTCCCCCTAATATTTATTTCTCTTTTTGCTCCGTAAATCACACCGACTAACCCGGCACCCAGATTCCCCAACGCAACTTGCCAGCCAGGCCTTCTCGAGTCTTCCTCCCTTGTACCTCCACCTCCCAAATCATCGCTTCTCTTGATCCTGTTAACTGAGCTTCTGAAACCTCCCCGTCCGACCCAGCCAGCACCAGCAGGGAAGCTGGCAATTCCACGTCCCAGAATCGGCGGGGATTCGTAAAATCCGTCACCGCGGGCCGAGCTCCATCCCCCAATGCAGCCTACACCGCGCCCCCCAATCTTGGCCTCAGGGCCCACTTAGGCCGTCAGAGTCCCAACCGGCAGGCCCTTCCCATCCTTGCCCCTCAGACACTTCACCAGTCAACGAACCCCCACGCCCCCGCCCCCAGGACAGCCCCGGTCGCCCCCATCCCTCAGCACCACGAGTCCCCAACAGCAGCCACTCACCTTCGCGCCCTCTGACCCTCGAACTCAATATAAACGACAGCAATCTCGACCAACCCCAACTGAGGTTCCCGCCCTAGAGGGCGGACTTCTTAGTGGTGGACATGCGCACAAAAAAATATTGCCGCGCGCCTCTTACTTCCTTGGCATTGTGGGATACGTAGTTTTGAATCCTGGCGGAGGAAGGCGGGGAGAGATTCCGCAGGTAACTGCTTGGACTTCTCCGTTCTCTGACGAGTTAGTTCAGGAAGGAAGCAGCTCGGATCAGCGTTATCGCACAAAAAACTGCGTTAACTTCACGCATATTATATCATTCGCTGTCAAATTTAATCTTGACAATATTTTGCTTTGAATTCTGAGTACTTTAATTAATAAAGTTGCTGGACGTGTGAAATATACACCCACGCACACACATACATACACATTCACAAATAACCTGTTTCGTAGTAAAATGCCTCATTCATTTGAAGATGTCAGATTATGCAGAAGATGTATTTTCATTCCATCTTTCTCTTTCATTATCCTGTTCCTGTGAGCCTTCCAACCTGCTTTAGAAGTTCGGAAGATCTTCACAATTATATTTGGAACACACAGGAAGGAAGCAGCAGGAGACAAAAAACCCTCTGTTCATGCACTGAATACTGGGTGTGACATATTATTCTATATTTATCCTTTTTCATATATATATATTTCAAGACAGTGAACATATCTAATACTGCTGTGCCCTATTTTCCTTTAACAGCCCTGAAAGGTGAGTTGCACTGAGAATGACATCCAAATTCTCAGCTAGCTTTCATGCCTAATACAGTTCAAGAATTAACAGTCTCTTAGTTTCTAGACCAGATCTTTAACCACTATACCAAACTGGTTGTTACATATCAGTGAATGTAGCATATAATATTTACATGTCCTTATTATTTTAATATAAAATATTTGTAATTAACGTTTATAATAAGCATCAGGCAGAGATGAGGTAGAGGAGAGATAAAGTACTAGATTTAAACTGCAGCCAAATCTATTTTCCACAGTCTTACTTCAGCTGCATGATGTCTAACCTAAGGTTAAATCTAGTCTATTTGCTAGTGCTATTTGCTCTCAAAGATTAATATTATGTTCTATGTATTACAGGTGTTCCCTGTGAAGTCCAAGTTTAGGCAACTCAATGTGTTTTATTGACTTAACTGATTCAGTACATGACTCTAAATGGCTCACAAATGCATTTTCAAAACCAAGCGAAACTCATAATTGTGGAAGAAGACAGCAGTTCAAAGAAATAAAGTGCAGTATTGCTTTATCAGGCAGAAGTTCAGGTATGGAAAAAGAACAAAAGCAGGGAACAACCCTTTGTTTCTTTAGTATGGAAGATACTGCTGTACAGAGTATCACTAGAGGAAATGAGCACAATACAATCTTTGAAAAGATCTTAGGTTCTGAAATTTTTTTATTATAGCATTTATTTTTATCCATAATAGTGATCTTCTTTAAATGGAGGCCTTCGTTATATGGTAATAATTACTTCACTTACAACATTACAAGGGACATTTTGTTTATATCATAATGGATAGTTTATTTACTTTGAAATGAAGCAAGGTACCTGGTATCTTTGGCTATATTATTGTATCTGAGTGATACCTGTTAAGGTTCAGTCTTTTTCCCCTTTTGTTTGCTCTCAAAAACAGAAAGCAACATTTGGTAATAACAATGTTATTATAATGTATTTTTAGCAAGATAGGAATTCAACTTCCTTCCCTTCTTTATATAGCGATATAAACTCATAGGAATAGTGAAGATGCCATGGGTTGTAAAGTCTGTTTCGTTTATTAAATTTTCAATCCACCTTTGTTCTGAGATCAGTTTACGGCAGCATACTTACCTAATGCTCCTGAGTATTTTTCTCACAAGAGCCCTGTAAGGTATGTTTGTCTAAGAAAGTGTGACTAACCCAAAATTACTCAGCTGGCATTTATATCTCAGGATAGTTTAGAATTCATACTTGCCTAGTTTTTAGCCCAGCATCTTAGCTACTATCCTAAACTGGTTCTCAAAATCTCTGATATAGCAGTTCCCTTGTACATTAATACTAAGGCCCAAGAATCTGAGATTATGCCTATAGCAGAAGCTAACACCCCATAACATTTATTTAGGCTTGCCTGTTTGTCAAAATGAACTATGCTGATGCTAGGACACGTTATCTAGAATCATCTCAAACTTAACAATGTCCCTGTTCCTCAATCATTTGCTCCGGATCCATCCCATCTTCATACTGGAAGTGCACAAGCAACATATTGAAATTATAGATGGAAAACGTTCATTTACTCTTGTTGCATATATAAGAGTCTGTTCATAAATTATTGAGACTATATGAGGAAAAATAAGGAAAAATGATGAGATGCAGACGGTAGAATTGCTGTCACTGTCCCCATTCTTTTTGCTAGACAAATCAGGTAAGAGGTGAAACAATGGCTTTAATCTATATGTGCTTACTGTAGCTAATGGAGTTAATATCTCTATGGCAGCACACAAAGTATGGAATTTCTATGTGATTCTTTCAATTCCCTTTCTTGGCAGTGCAGCAAGCTTTAAGTTAACATTATGCTCCCCGTGAAATTTCTTTCATAACTACTTCATTTTTCTGTTTTTTAATGTTTAGACTATAAATATTGCCACAGATTTTGAAATCTACTGTTAGGCAATTGTGTTACTGACATCATTTTAATATATATATATAAAATTGTGACCAAGTTTTGCTGATCTTCTGATCTTTTTATCAAACAAAATGATACATCAAGCAGGAAAGAGTAGGAGGAAGGGAAAAAAAGCTGTTATATTGAATCATGTGTGATCAGAATTTAAGGCCAAATTAAAAAGGAGTTACAGATTTAAATGTATGAGAGCAGACTAGGGGCACTTCCTGGCAAAGGTTTACTCTGCAATAATTCAGTCTCATTCATAAAATCTTATCAGGAGTTCAGATATTACTTACAATTTGTCCCGCACAAACATACTTTCCATAATTTCCCTTACTTACTTCTTTCTTCCATCTTTCCACAGAAAGTCTGGTAAGCAGGGAAAACTGAAATGGCTTAACAATGCCCTTTATTCCATAATAATAATAACTGTCCATCCAAAATTTCCTAGTTGTTATACATTTTTCAGCTTATAGGATGAAACAAAAACTCTAATGGGTAACAGCAAATTCTTCCATTTTAAAATATTTTAAAGTAGACAATATACATTGCTGTAACTGATGTTATGGAATTAAAATAAGCAGAAATTATAAAAATTGTGCATATAATACTAATGGGGCCAAAATCGGGGCTTCTTCTGTGGTTAGGAAACATGGAGGTCACGTTTCATATTACCAGTCCCATTGAACAGTTCAATCTAAAACAGTCTGCACAAGTTGTTTCCAAACATTTTAAAAAACCATTCTATATAACAGTGGTTCTCAACCTGTGGGTCGGGACCCCATTTGGGGTCGATCGACCATTTCATGGGGGTCGCCAAGCAAGGCTGTCCGCCATTTTTTTTGTCCGCCATTTTTTTTGTCCGCCATTTTTTTCCCCTTTTCCGGCGGGTGCCTTACCTCCCTTGGGCTGGGCCAGCTGGTGGTCGGCCTGCTCCGTCTCTGCCGCTTGCCAGATACACCTCGGCTGGCGCAGGGGGCGAAACCACGCATGTGCGGTGCTCCCGGGCAGGGAAAGTCCTCGACTTACGACCGGTTGGGTAGTCCTCGACTTACGACCGGTTTAGTCCTCAATTTACGACCGGGTTAGTCCTCGACTTACAACCGGTTGGGGTCGCGGCATTAAAAAGGTTGAGAACCACTGCTATATAAGATACGTTATCGTAGACCAGATGGGGAATAACTAAGACACTGTATGGCATCATCTTCACAAAAATGATATAATTTGCATCAATTATAACTTTGTGACATTTATCTGTTTGAAGATATTCATAATCAGATCTGACAGCTTCACAACAATTCTATTTGACATGATAACTATGCAAACATACAGTATTCCTAAGCTTAAACTAAATCCAGAAATGCACTCAAATGGTAAATAGTGTAACTTCACTGAAAGAGTTTATATCCCGTTTCCTGATTCACCATATGATTGAACAGAAACACCTCTGCCTCATACAGATTAAGGTTTGAGTTAGCTTTACCAAGCAGATTCTGATTTAAAACTTGAGCTGTTTTTTGGTTTTGGAAAGAAAAAATAATTTGGCTGCTGTTAATGAACCCCTGAATTCAGGACTTTCAGTATCACGAGGTTATCCATAGGCACCACAAGTAGCCTCTGAACTATCCTTAAATCTTAAATTATTAACCTCATTGTACACTATCTTAAAGAACTAAAGAGACTTGTTAAACAGCTTACTGTAATTTATATTTTGGGTTGCACAAGTATTTACTAAACTCTTAGCAACTTTACCTCTGTACCAGGTTTTCTCAACATCAGCACTTTAAAATGCATGGAATTCAGCTCCCAGAATTCCCCAACTAACATGTTTCAGCTTAAGAATCTGGGAAAGGACTACAACAGAAAAAAATCATTGGCTCATTGTCGTCTTTCGTATGTCTCCTATCCAAATGAACAGCTATCCCATGTACAGTTAAACAGAGAGCTGTAAAACAGCATTAGGCAGAAGTGTTATATAACCATCTTGAAAACAGACTCGATGCCAGCATAGTAATTACTGCTAAGTACAAATATTGTGACAATGTCTCTTAATACCCATAAGGAATAATCTTGTATTATACTATGTTTTATTTAACAAGTTAATAAAGTACCAGCCCAAATCCTTCAGTTCCTAACATTGCCAGTGGGACTAATTAACCAACTTGGATATATATTTAGGGAAATATTAATATTCACAGTGAACATTTTATATTCATGTTGCTTCTTATAAGTATGGCTCTGTTATGTTTGGTTTAAACATAACAAACATTTTTGACTATGTTTCACAACTCACTTTTCCTGTTATTGTATACCAATTACTTCCCAATTTATTCTGTCAAATGATATTGGGAATAATATCATTATTTTCAGCAGGAAAAATTTGTAACCCCTTAATAACACAAAAGTAAAAGACAGCCAGTTTGGCATAGCGATTAAGGCATGGATGGTTATTAAAAGTTCAGGAAGTTACAGACAAACAACATTTGGGAGATATGTGGTTAGGAAAGTTACTGAATTTTTAGCATGATGCTTTTTTAACTTCTAAAAGTAATTAAAGCTTCAAGATTTTTTTTTTCAGTGAACTCAGATTATGCCATGCAAGATTTTCAAATAACTATGAAGAACAAAGGGGTTTTTCTCCCCTTCTCTTCCCACCATCCCCTTCTTTCTTTTCTTAATATAGTCAAGACTAGGAATAGAAAAATCTTGTTTTCTTTGTATTTTTAGTTTTTTTTTCTTTGGTCAGTTGTTCTATTGAAAATGGACCGACCTGATTTTTATGTGATAACAGCTTCTGGAGAATTTCTTTACACTACATGTTCCCTAACTATAAAGTCTTGATCACACTGCTAATTTTAAAGCAGAGCTGTATCATTCTAGAGAAAAATCAGGTTGAATATCAAAATAAAGATCTGAAGGGTTCTGAAACAAAGGGAAATTGTTTAGTTTAACTGTTGCTTTCTTGCTTTTTGTAATCAGCTTTTGCACCAGAGAAATTTCATGCAAGAATGGGAAACATGTACATGGATGCAATATACTGAAGGAGGGTATAAGGGAGTGTACAGGAATGATTGATGTCTTTATGATGAAATGGCTCTGTTGTCTGATTTTCATTGGCTAACAAAGTTTATAAAGTAATGCTAGCAACTTTCTAAGGTGTGGCACTTCTGCCAGCGTTCCAGATTGTTGGCCACTCACCTGCTTAATTTGATCAAATAAAGTGCTGCTTGATCAAGAAGTCTCCACTTGGGTTATCTGATTAGATTGATATGGTATCTCAAGTTTAAGTAAGGGATTGGGACCTTACAGATCCAATCTCTAAAGTACTAACTGGAAAACTGACTCTTCATTCCCAATGTTAGGATGGCCATCGCTGTAGAGCAGGAGTCCTCAACCCCCGGTCCGTGGACCAGTACCGGCTGCGGCATGCCAGCAACCAGTCTGCACAAACAAGGAAATCCCCATCTGCAGGATGCCGGCAGCACACAAAACTACGCCCCCTCTGGTCTGTGGAAAAACCTCTCTCCACGTAACCGGTCCCTGGTGCCCATAAGGTTGGGGACCTCTGCTGTAGAGGATGAAAGCAAAAGCCGTGGTGGTGCAGCGGTTAGAATGCAGTATTGCGGGCCAATTCTACCGACTGCCATCAGTTCAATCCTGAGCTGCTCAAGGTTGACTGAGCATTCCATCCTTCCAAGGTTGGTAAAATGAGGACCCAGATTGTTGGGGGCAATATGCTGACTCTGTAAACCACTTACAGAAGACTGTAAAGGACTGTGAAGCGGTATATTCACGTTCCTAAGATTCTAACTAGCTTTCTCTTATCAAAAAGCAGGGAAGTGTTTAATATTCTGGGATTTTTATTGAACTCCAAGGCCAGCTGGGTTTATAAAAGGGTCCATTAGAAAATACTTAAGAGAATATTGTTTCAGGCTTTCACAAGAGGAAAGCCATGAGCTTTGAGAATGAATTCATTCAGAAGGATTTATCATATCTCCTGATGGCTCAGAAAATAAAAAGTAGCATTATTTGCTGATGAAGCACAAGAGACCAAACAGATTGGTCCCTTGCTCCTATATATTTTGTAGTTGGTTCTGGTGCCTGCTGCTCAGGTTTGTCTTTTGGAGTTCAAAGGATTGTTATTACTGTATTGTGACCTGCAACTGAACTACGAGACCCTGACTAAGCCAGTGTAGTAATGTGCTACCTTATCCCTCATGCCACTAGCTTGGGCCTATTTAATTTTCTCTTTGATTTTAATATAGATTTATTGAAAGTTTCAGTTATCAAAACAAACTGCAATGGCAAATTGGTGTTCCTCTGCAGCCCTACAAGCACCTATAAACCTGCCATGGGATGAAATAAATGGCACTATATCGGAGGTCAGTTATTGCAATAGTCATTCTCCTGGGGTTTCCACTGTGCAGTTTAATATTTTTCTTATTACCCTCTTTCTTCATTGCTATTTATGTCTTTCTTTTTATATTCAAAGTAACATACTGCTGTCCACCCCAATAGGCAGAAAGTCATCTCAGATAAACTGGTGAATGATGCATAGCCACAAATCCCCAGAAGGATTGACCTATATGTATCTGTTGCTTGGAATGAGCTGCCCCCAGAGATCAGGGTGATCCCTGATCTCCCTTCCTTCCGCCGCGCCCTTAAGACATGGCTATTCCAACAAGCGGGACTGGCCTAGGGCAATTTTTAGAGGGGTAAATTAGTATAAAATTAATCTGTTGTAAATTTATAAAGGAAAATTGATTAAAATTAAAACATTAACAATAACCACATAAAAAAATTGATTGTCAGCCGCCCTGAGTCCGCAAGGAGAAGGGCGGGATATAAATTCAATAAATAATAATAATAATAATAATAATAATAATAATAATAATAATAATAATAATAATAATAATAATAATAATAACAGCTTAAAAAAAATCTCTTTCTCTTTACTCCCTTCCAATTTTCACCTCAGAAACAAGTCGCATTCATGATCTCTTATTATTAACTCCCCCCCCCTTATATTAGGGTCTCAAAAATAGAAAAAACTTTCTGCTGCCTTATAACATCTCTTGAGATCCTCTGGGAAGGACTTAAGAGGATTAATTATGAACAAATTGGGGTTGCAACAAAATGCTATAATGTGAAATGTTTTCATTGAGAATAGCAGCTACTCTTGTAAATTTTCTTGAGAACTTACTGTTATCTCTGCTGTTAATTCTTTTGCTAGGTTTAAAATTCGCTTTGGGAGTATTCCTCCTCTTCAGATAAATATTTTTTTTAATATGTCTTTGTACTTCTGCAAATCCTAAAGTTCCCAAGTTTGCTGATACAGTACTTTTCTCTTGAGTATGGATGGAATCACATTCTCATCTTGTGCATAGAAATGGAAGGAATTATATTCAGTTTTTTTAAAGGCCCACAGATATATTACTTGGTGATCAAAAGTCTTTCTTGGTGAACTCTATGACTATTTTACTGTGTTTTTATTATTCTATCTCCCCAAATATTGCATGGCATCAGTAGCAAACCAACACTGATCTTTTTCAAACATCTAAAAAGATGCATCATGAAAGTTTCAATGTATTTTACTTCACTGAAATTTATTAAATTATTCTGTGGTTGGATTCACACATTTTAATAAGCCATGCTTTATTTAGAGAAGTACACTGTTTTCAAGAAGCCAGTTGATTTGTCTCCACACATAACTTTTTAAAACAACTCTTAGTAAAGACATTTTCTCATTAAAGCACCAGACATATTAAAGCCTACAATAAATTATATTCCATCCACTCTTGTATAATTTTATTTAATGCTGTTTACTTTATCTCTTTTTAACGCATTTGACAATGGGATTGTCTAATGGTTTGCTATATCCTGATTTTCCTTTTGTATAGATGTTATTGATTTGTTTGGCTAAAGTAAAATCCAGATAGTCTGTATTTGCATGACATGCTAAGCCTTTGTTGTAGGTTAAAAGGGCAATGGCAAATGTAGGAGTTAGGATGGGGGTATGCACAGCCCAATTACACACTACTGAAGATTAGCATGTTGTGCAAATACAATCAGACTTTTTAATCTAGAGCGGAGCTCTCACTAGTATAAGATTTAACCTACGGTAATTTGGGATCTTATATTATTGTTATTCTGAATGTTAAGAATAGAATACAAGTTAATCCACCCATAATAAGCTACAGTAATATTAAAACAACACATCCATCATCACATCACATCACCAATTATACAATTATGTTCTTGTGTCATGATATCTGCTTATCAGATTCCCTGCAGATAAAGGTAGTCCTTGCATTATGACAGCAATTGGGATCAGAAATTTAATCACTGTCATGGCCCAATACTCAGAAGCTGAATATGAAAAAAATGCTCCAACAGAATCTGTGGAATGTCAGCTTCAGGAGACACAAAGCCAGGAATCACATGAGCCTGATCAAACACAGGCATCACCTAAACAGCAGAAGCAGTCAGATGATGGTGATGTAAGGCCTCCCAGTACCTGTACCTGGAGAGTAAAGGAGAAAGCAGAGCAAAGGGATCCTATGAGGCTCCTTACCATGCAAGGGATTAAAGACTGATGGGTACAGCCCTGATTAAAGACTGATGGGTACAGCCCTGATCCATGATTTTTTTGCTGGAATCAATTGTCTTATCTCCGACTCACATATGATTTTTATGAAAGTCTGGCCTTTAGACTGACTGACAACCCTGACCTGGCTCTTGGAACTCTGGATTGAATTTTGACTATTCTTCTGCATGCTCCTGTTAAAAGCAAAACTACTTGGGCAAGCTTCTTTTAAGAATAAGTTTTTGTTTGCATTCCTTGTCTGCTGGTATCTCTTCAACCTTGAATAAAAAGCTAATTTCCATAGCAATTCTATGTGTGAGTGTATTGAAACCAGAAGCAGGACGGTTGTTAAGCAACAGTCATAAAGCATGAAATCACCTGACCAAGTCACTTACCTACAGCAATCCCAGTTGCCATTGTTAATGCAGGTCATTAAGCAAGAACTTCTCATGATTGCCATTTCTGGTTTCCTGCTGACTTCCCCTGTGATTTTATGGGAAGCTGGATGGAACAACAGAAATCATGATCATGTGTGATATAATTACAAGCCAGTCCTGTGACAGGCAGAACTCCAAGGATCTGTCTTACAGTAAGACTCTTTCATTCATCATCTTCATAACTTTGAACTGTTACTGAACAAATGGTCATAGCTTGAGGGCTAACTGTATTTGTGTCATTCCTAATATAAACTACACATTATGCTTAGCCTGGCTTCTTTCAATAGGCTAAATCTGGACCTCATAACTACTAGTTCATAACTTTTACTTTATGAATCACAGTAGATGATTTGAAATAAAATTCACTTTGTGGCTATTGTCATTTGAGAATCCAGACATACCATATCTAAATCATGTCACTGTGTTTCTTGATAAACCTCTACATATGCGCTGCTCTTTCAGGAATCTAAGTTAGATGTCTACATGAGATTGGAAAAGGATCAGAGAATGTAGAATGTACTAGAAAAGTTGTAATAATTATTTTTTTCCTGTACAGAAACAAATGGCAGAATATAAATGGAAGTGGAAAACCTGGTTCTCTTGGTCTGGTTGAACTTGTATCCACTTAATACCGAACAGATGGAATCTATAATTAATGCAGTGCAGTGCATTTGCTGATGGGCATTCAGAAGTTCCCAGGTTTAATCCTTAAGATCTTCAATGAAGGATGATAAACTTTATTGGAGATCTATTTCTACCCAGCAAAACAATCATGATTTAGAGACTTACAAGTGGGACTTCACATATTTTAGAAGCAAACACACTGACTATATTTATATTTTCACACATGTATTGAAAATTAAGCCAGAAGCCAACAACTAGGAAAAAGGAATGCTAACTCCTAGATCTAGCTGATTTAACTATGCTAAAACTGAAGGAAACTCTTTGGAAACTCTTCAAAACTTCTAATGCAGAATATTGCAGGAGTCTAATCTGAAAGCTACCAGAACATGGCTATTTGTGACTACATTTTGTCTATGAGAGTTTATATCTTGCATAGTAGACTAAATTATTTAATGGCACTTAGAGCCCAAGAAATCACGTGAACCTTCATCTACAGTGCTGATCTGGTGTAATCTGCCTTATCTGAACTATAGATAACTGACTGTCACACAGTCTTCTACTTTTAGCAAACATCTCATCAGAACTTCACTACCATATCTAATTAGGCTGAGATGAGTAAAGTATAGTTCTGATGACTCCATCATTTAATGACATCTCATCTAATCCCAAACCAATCAAATTATTTTTTATGTTGTTTAGCAACAGTTCTTATTATCTTTCATTG